GTGCATTCCAGTTTTGGAATATCGCCGACAACCCGAGGTTGATTAAGGTGGAAAACATTCACAAAAAATTTTTACATTACAAAATTTTTGTTACTGGAAGTTAAAGTTTAATTAAATGTGTTATTATTGCACTCTTTATAAATGACACAAAAAATTTTTTGTTCATTATTATTGAACGACTGGCCATCTACATCTAATATTTTGTCCATTTTTTTGGGAGGCACCACCTTCAAACCGCAAAAGTTTCATTCAGATTTGCATATTCTATCATGCACTTTCTCTTTTTTTAGTAAAGCTAGTAACAAATCTTTAACAGTGGGCAATAGTTTGGAAAAAATATTTCTCCAAACTTTATAAAGCAAGCAATACACCTTAAATAAGTTTTTCATAATAATCCATTTAAGCAATCTTAAATGCTATTACTTTTTAAGGAGTCTTATCATTTTTATCTTTTTACTAATCTAACATAAAAAGAAATAAAAGGTGAGACTCATTAAAATTATTAGTGTTTAAGATTATGTAATTGTAGCATGGAGTAGAAAAGTAATAAAGTTTATATTAAACTGTTTTAAAGAATCATCTTTTTCCTGAGTCGTTCTCTCCGGTCTTCCAATTATCTTATTGATTTAATAGATGAGCAGCTGAAAGGTTTTATACAAATACAAATTACAGTTGACCCCTATAACACTGTTGATTATTCCGTTTTATATGAATTTCATGTTGTACGAGTCAATTAGATTTTACAAATACGTGTGCTGGGCTGTGAACGGCTCGCATATTTGTAAAATCTAAGTGACTCGTACAACACGGAATTCATATAAAACGGAATAATCAACAGTGTTATAGGGGGTCGTCTGTGCGAAAATATTTTTTTTTCTCGGAGCATGCCATGTAAGAGTTTAGTAGCAAAAATTATCAGAGATAAACTTCTGTTTATTAATAGTTCATTTCTGATATTTTTATTAACTAATTTATTTTATTTTATGATTATTCATATTGAGATTATATTTTTACAGATATATTTGCAAATTTATGATCAAGCTGTTATTCCGTTTATTTTTAACAGTGTATATTTTGATAATTTAAAGATAAATCTAATGCTTATTAACATTAAGAGTTTCAGATAGATTAATTTTGATATTAGGATATTTATCTTTATAACAGGCATATATTTTGTTTAAAAAAATCTACAAACAGTTTACTTATTTTGCACTTTCTTAATTTGTTTTGAATTATACAACACAATAGTATGATTTATAATTAGCCATTACATAGAATACTTTGTTTATCTGTTCTGTTTTTTTCTTTTAATAGTTGATTTAAATCTGTAAAGTTACTTTTAACATTGATTGGTTAATGCATGCACCACATATTTGTTACGTGTTGGGATGTGGTTATACTCGTTAAAGTGAGCTCGATCCACAAAGAACGGTCCTAACAAAAATTCTTTTGATTTATTCTGCCTGCGTTATTCTTTCCTTCTTCAATATTTCTGAGAATTTTTCAGTTTCTCATTTCAATTATGCAAAAGGGTAATGACTGCATTGTTCTACTAATGTTTGATGTGTGGACTAACTATTATCCAAGTAATATCTGAAAAATATAACTTTGACAAGTTTAAAGGAACAAAGAAATTTTACTGAAGATAAGTCTGTTACTTTTAAAATGATATTTTTAGAAAACATTTGATCTGTTGTGTTTTCTCATTAAAACAGGTCTTTAGAAAATAGGAAAGGTAGTAAACTTTTGTCCAGTTAGTCGAGGTTAAGTACATTAATAACCTATTATTAAGCTGGGGTAGGTAATCCGATTTGTAAGGTAGTTTTCGAAAATTTTCACAAAGGCAGAAAAAACAATGTAATTTGTTTCATTTTATAGTTGTTTAAGGTAAAAAAAATTAACATTAAATGTTGGCAATAGAAAACAGTAACAAAAAAAATCTTCACGTGTAAAATACATTTATTAAATTAACACTCCAAAACCTTTAAACGTCCAGTAGTAAACAATTTAATAGTAAACAAATGTTTTCGACCGTACTTTCGGTCTTCATCAGGTTTAAAAACCAGTCAGATTCAAACCAGTGCAAGCGTAGAACAATGATTATGAAATTATTTTGAAAAATAGAACAGCACTAACGGATTTTAAAAGAATACAGTTATGCATGTGCATGTGCATTGCCATGGCAACAGAATGGCATATGTAATACATAAATTATATAAATATATTTAAATAAATACATCAAATGGGGATGTGGTCTCTAATAAGAGCTGACCCACATGAGGCCAAACTGATCAAACTTTCTCACCGGGTGGAACACCTGCGAAATCTAGAGGCACTGGAAATTTACAAAGCCTGGTTACGCACCAATTGCATTAAAGCTAATGATGCGGTCAATGTGTTACACGCTTGGAAGTACTGCTATGAGATAGCGGGCGACGCCCACTCCAGCAGTTAGAGACCACATCCCCATTTGATGTATTTATTTATATATATTTATATAATTTATGTATTACATATGTCATTCCGTTGCCATGGCAATGCACATGTATAACTGTATTCTTTTAAAATCCGTTAGTGCTGTTCTATTTTTCAAAATAATTTCATAATCATTGTTCTACGCTTGCACTGGTTCGAATCTAACTGGTTTTTAAACCTGAGGAAGACCGAAAGTACGGTCGAAAACGTTTGTTTACTATTAAATTGTTTACTACTGGACGTTTAAAGATTTTGGAGTGTTAATTTATATACTTTCCAGTATTCACGTAAGAAGATTTTAAGTTTAAAATACATTTATTATATTTACTTTGTATCAGTGCTGGTAAAAACTGGAAGTTCTCAAAATCAGTTAACTGATTTTTAAATATTGGATGCCAAACCAGTTTAAAACTGGCTTTGAATCCAATAAAATTAATTAATGTTAATAAAATGCGGTAATAAAACATTATTATTTTATTGTTCATATTAATAAAATATTTACAGTAACTATTATCTAAGATTTATGGCTACGCCCGTATTGCAAGTAATTCCCATCAAAAAGAATCTACATTTCTTTGACATTGGTAAATTCCAGAGTCTAAGTATTTAAGAAACAGCATTTGAAAACGATCGTTTTAAAATTAAACACAAGCAATACGTGGCATTATTTTGAAAAAGTCAAGGATGGAAAATTGGTGCTGCACATAAATTGTAATATTATGCCGAAATTTTCCGGTGGTACGTTGGTTAGCTGGACCGACCGTCTTAAATCCAAATACACTTTACTGCCAACTAAGTCAAAAAAGGCAAATAACACAACGATACCAATTTTGTTTCCCATTCAAAACTGGTATTTGCTAAAACCAGTTTCATTGCTAACACTACTTGGTTGTATCCAAAGTAAAAGTTCTAATAAAATCATTCTGATTTTTTATAGAATTGTGTACTGCACAAAAATGTAAGTTTAGTATTGAAGAACATTTGATTTTTCTGTTAAATGTAATGGACTAGATCAGGGATGGGCAACCTTTTTCTATGCAAGGGCCACATTTTAAAACTTTTGAACTGACATGGGCATCACGCAAAAGAAAAAAGAAAAAACCTGCTGGTAAATCAATTATCTATTCATAAATAATTATAAATTAACATAGGTATACTTAATTTAACTTCTGGAACTGACGTGAATGTAATATGTCAGAAATATTTGGCCGAATATTAGTCACTGCTAGTTTTGATGCGAGTCTGTTAGTCGATTACTTGTTTTAATTTTTACTAAATTCATTGGGGGGAAAATCTGTTCGTATAAATAAGTTGTAGAAAATAACAATACAATAGAATTTTTGCTGCATACTTTCTTAAGCTGGGAAATTGACATATCTATTAATATTTTATGCGACAGGCCGCACAAAATATTAATAATGGGCCGCAGGTTGCCCACCCCTGGACTAGATCACATGACAGTTCTCTCACTGGAGTTGTTGATAGTGAACATTTTATTTCTTTTGTCCTTGCAATTTTGAATTTGTCATTTGGAGATTCATCTGTAGAACGTAGTTTCTTGATCAAAAACGTGTGTTAACAACAAATCTGTCAAATGAGCCTCTTGTTGCACAAGATGATGTTTATGATTGTTATCACTGCTGATGGATTTTAAAATGTTGAAATATCTAAACCACCTATTTGTTTTGCAAGAAATGCACTCTACATATGGAAGCATTGAAGAAAAAGAATTGCATTAAACTGAAATCAAGAGTAATGAGGAAAAAACAAATTAAAGGCAAGTTGAGGTCACTTTCATAGAAAAAGCAACAAATTATGCAAGAAACATCTGCCTCCTTGAAGAAAATTGATGAACAGATAAAAGCTCTTCATAGGAAATTGTAATTTGATTGTTTTAAATTATTCTTAAACCAGCTGGAACTACATTTTAATGATTAAATAGTATAGTTATTTATAATAAGATTCCTCTGTATGACCGGCATTTCATTTCATTTCATTTGTAAAAGTATTTTTGATTCATTAATTAATAATATAATGATGCTTCAGAACCTGGAAATATTTCATGTCAGCCTGGGAAAGTCAGGGAATGTTTCTAGATTTGAGTAGACCCCCTGTAATTGAATTTATATTCCTCAAATTTAACCCAAATATTCTGAATTTTGTTTATTTTTTACATATAATTACATTAATTTGATGATAATTCTAGTTTTAGTTGTTAAACTGTTATAAACAAAATTAGTTTTAGCCAAAGTAAAATTAGTTAAGTTTGATAAAAATTCATGCAAAAATTATATCTTTGCATAAATTTCCATAGAAGTAATTAAATATTACATATTCTCTAATCAATACCAATAAATAATCTCTTTTTTCTCAGTTTAAAATCATTACCTTTTTCAATTTAAACATTGAAAATTTTGTAAAGTAATTTTTATTAGTTATTTATAAGTAGTACTTATTATTTTTAAGGAACCAAAATATTTGAAATATTTGCATTGATTATGTATCTGTGTAATTTCATTTGACAGCAAAGACTCAAGTGGAACAGTTCGACAAGTCTATCAATTTGGTACAGGGTAACAAGTTAAATTTGCACTGCAATGTCAAAGTGGGCATTCCGGTTCCCACCATTTCTTGGTACAAAGGTATGTAAGTACATTTATCTTTTGTGCAGATTGGCACCTCTTAAATTAGTTTAAATTCTGATTCTGATTAATTGTACATTTAGAAAAATTTTATGTAAAATTGAAAAGTAATGATAAGTTCCTTTGAATGAATTTATTCCATGGTAGGACTATGTTAAACTAAAATTTTGATATCGAACATCAAGACTTATGAATTATTGAAAAGTATTGAGTGTATAGAAAAAGATTTGAAGATAAATTTTTAAATTTACAGTCACTAGGCTAATGCAAACTGTTGGCCATAAATTCACGATACAAAAATTATACGGTGTCCGATGGTAAAACTATGTGGCATTTTACTGAAATGCCACAGACAAGATTGCCCTCCATTACTAAGAATTATGTAGGATGTCGGTAGGATGTCGATGATTACTTTGTGCCGTGCCAATAACTCGCACGCGAAACTAAAACTGATAAATTTTTATATCGTCGGTATAATAATCAACATTATCAAAAAGTCTTTCACTGACAACAAATACAGATATAAACAACCCTACTTCTTTCAACATAAAAATTCCTCCAGCTGTTAGATTGCCCTGGTGTTAAAAATTTACAAGAGCTGCAACAACTCAAACTTTTTTAACACTAGTGCAATCTCCTAACAATCAAGGGAATTGTTATGGTGAAAGAGGTAGGAGAATTGTTTATCATTGACAACAAATAATGATAATTTATTGGTTTCAGTTTGATGTATTGGTTATTGGCACAGTATTATTCCACAGTTATTCAGTAGTTGAAATGGTAACGCGTGCAGCTAGTCCTTTAGTAAGTTACAGTGTAATAAAAAGGGATGAGAAAATCGTTCAAATGATTTTTATAATTAATGGGTTCATTTGAATGAAATTTTTCTTTACCGAGATGTATGGATAAAAATTATTTGCTACATCTCATATTTAAAATGATGCTTTCAGGGGTGGAATAAAGATGCTCTTAAACAAAATAGGTCATAAGACCTTTGTCTTATGACCTATTTTGAGAAATTATGAGAAAAGTATTTGTTAAGGAATTTTTTTATAACAATGTATTATGATTAATGCACATATTGTGTGCAATATTTCGATTTGAAATGCTTTCTAGAATTTTTTAATTCTTCAATTTTGTCTTTTGCATGAAAATAGTTTTCAAAAAATTTATTCCATTGGAAATTTTGTCTTTTTGTGACTAGATTATTTCTCTTAATAATCTTTATATATGTAATGAGTACAAATTTGTTGTTCTTCGTTTCAGACGGACAGTTATTAAATGGCAGTGACGATCACATTGGATTTTCAGAAGACGACAAAGGAATTCCGAATGCGATTCTTACAATAGACGAATTAGAATTCACCGATCGTGCTAACTACATGTGTGAAGCAGACAACGGAATTAGCAGTTCTAATGCTACAACTCTCGTCAGAGTAAAAGGTAAAACTTTATAATAAGAAATCAACACAAAACTCCAATAATTCATTGAATAATGGTTTTTAATTATTAGCTTTAGAAGGAAATAATATGTATATTTATTACAATAATATAGCTATAAATGTTGTTATCAAGAAATACATTTTGGGTTATAAGATGCTATTAAACAAATATCTGATGCCTATTAATATCAATTTATGGGCAAGAATTAGACATGATCATTCTGTGGAAAACAAAATTAATCCCTAATGATTAAAAATATTAAAAGATTTTTATCAGCAGCGTGAATTTTTCCTATGCAGTGGGATTTCCTCATTTCTTCATATTTCTCTGTCCATTGTATCCTCTCATCATGCTTCTTTTCACTTTCCTTTATATATTATTTCCTGCAATTGTTCTTGATCCATATGTTTTGTTTGTTCTTACCATTGGAGCTATATTTTTTACTGCCCTTTTCTAGAATTTAATCTCTACTTCTATTTGGAACAAAAACAAGAGTCTATGCTCCTGTTTTTTGTACACTGTTCAAGTTTCCACACCATACTAGACTTTGTAGGATTATGTTATAGCTTTTCTTTTTGTTTTCTTCAGGATATTCCCATTCCACAATATTAAATTTAACATTTAACTACTATCCTCCTGCAAGACTGACCCAGGTATTTGAAGTACTCAAATATTTTTATTCCATTCCCATTCACCCAAGATCTTGCTCTGCTCTTGTAGTTAAATGTTCTGTTTTTGCATAACTAATGTTCAGATCCCATTTCTTATATTCTTCATCCAGTATCTGCACACAGAATAGAAAAGATACAAAACTTGTGACATAACTCCTTGATCATCTGCAAATGATTCTTCTTAGTCCTTTGCCCTTTCAGAGTGTGGTGATATTAATGGCTTTAATTGTATCCTTCCACTTTTCATGGTGTTGTGCTATTTGGATGGCTTCGTGCAATGTATGTCCTGTAATCACCATTACCTGGTCTGCCCACCTATTCCGATACCTGCCTCTAGGCAAATTAATGGCAAATGTCCTAATTTGCCATTAATCTTCCTTTTTAGAATTTGTTTCTCAAAATTTTTTTTGTGCTTGGAAATATGTTCCAAAAATCAAAGGTAGGATGGTGAATTTTAGTGGTAAGGCATATTGTGATTTTCAGTTGATGTAGGATGGAGCAATTTGTTTGGTGCTCCATCCAAGAGATTCTTAACATTCTTCTATATGTCCATATCTCAAAGGAATCAAGTTTCTTCTGAGAGGTGTCATTTATGGTCCAGGTTTCTGCAGCATAAGTGGCAATCAGGAAAATTAGCTTTCTTATGAGATTTAATTTATTAAAATTAGTAATCTCAGAATCTTTCCAAATTCTATATAATTTACTTATTACATCCTTACTTCCATTAATTAGTAATCCATATTCCCTGCTCTCAGTTTCAAGTCTTTCCATAATATATTCAAGTTCTGATTCACTGCATGCTATAAAAATATCATCAGCACACCTTAGGTTGTTAACTTTTTGGCTCCAATGGAAATGCCTCTGTCCCAGTTAGATAGATATAATTCTTCCATCTATCATCTATAATCTAATTTGTAGACCTTTTCTGGCCCATTCCTATGACCAACACGTAACATTTACATAAATATTAAATAATGTTGGTGAGAGACAACACTCTGCAGTAACTTTTTGGAGCATACACTTTTCAAAAGCTCAGTACCTCAATTCTTTATTCTGCAAGTATTCATAATTCCTTTATCACTTTATTAAATGTTCACTAATGCTTCTTACTTCAAGACCACCTACAACAATTTCCTTGGGGACATTTATTGAATAGTGAATATCAGGCAACCAAATAAATAATTTCATTTTTTTTCAAAGTGAATAAAAATGCTTGTAGTTTTTGTTTAAAATAATTTTATTTATCAAGATATTACTTAAATGTTGGTTGAACTCTCACATCAAATTTTTATAGCAAGCAGCTACAAAGTGTACAAATTAAGGCTAAAACAGCCATCTTTGAAGAAGCATCAAAGGTGTTTTTGTTTTTACAAAATAATGCAATTGAGATGGGAACTTTTACATCATCCTTCCTATTCTGCTGTCTTATCTCTGCCAAATTACCATATTCTTATAAATCTTTGGATGATCATATGCATGGAAAACCATTTACAAATCACGCAGCTATAACATTAAAAATTGAGTCACTTCCTTTTTTAAAAATTGTATTTTCAAACTGCCCTCCCATTGCGAAAATGTAACTGGATGTGAAAGTGAATATTTTGATAAAAAAATACAAGCATATTTTTTAGTTAGTTGATCTTTTCTCTATTTTGCTCATACTTTGAAATCAACCACCTAAAATGTTACTTTTTCCACTAAGTATATACACATATACTTTGCATTCCTTTCATAATTAGTATCTATCTCAAATGTTTGCTTTCAGTCCTGTAGCAGGTCTGTTTTGGAAGAAGATTCGTGTCCTGAATATGCCTTTTGTTTTCATTCATTCTGTTCATCCATGGGCACATTGGCTCAGTCCTTACATTCCTTCTGTTTAAATCTTGTCAACTTTCCTCTTCCACAATAACAATCTCTCTCTGGGATTCTTAAATTGAGAGAGACAATGGATCTCAGGAGTCATCTGTTGGAGCATATACATCTATTATAGCTTTCAATGTCATTTTCAGTTTTCATAATCTTTTCATTTATGAACTTTCACTTCCAATATTGGCATTATACTCTAAAGCATATTGTGAGATCCAAATAGCCCCTGGGATTAATTATTAATTAAATTCTGAAAGAAAATATTCTTCCATTTTTGGTGTGAAAATATCGTTTTTCTAACATGGGAAATGGATAAAAAGCCACTTCCTCTAATGGAAGTACACACATCCTTCTGTTTTTCATTTATCTACCAAAAATCTCACCACCCTGGGAATTGCCGACCCCTCTATAAATCCCCTTTTCCTTTGTTCACGTGAGAGGATCCTAAACGCTAATTGGATGAAAAGCATGAGATATAGTCAGAGTTTTGCCATATTCAGGGAGTACGTCAGGAGATCTCATAGAGGAGAGAAGTATCCCATATTGGCTGCATAAGGCCAACGCCCTTAGGAGTACGCATGAAGATCTCATAGAAGAGAGACGTATTCTGTACTTATACCAAAAGAAAACGCCTTAGTTGTGTCCTGCATGAAAGTAATAATGAGTTAAATTAGATGGACTAAAAGAAAACATATAATTATGTGCCTTGCAAGACAGCTCCATGAATTGCAGTGTAAGAAAACAACGAAGTGAAGTATAATCATACAATACAGAAGAAGATAAAGTAAATTGGGGTATTATGATTAACATTGAATTTGTGAGCGTTCTCTCTCAATCGCATAATCTGTCATTCGCTTAATTTTAATTATTGAATAATTCCCTTTTTGTATAATTTTGTTTATTCTGGTTTTATTAAATTCCTTTAACGAAATGCCACATCACTGTCTGAATCAAATCCGTGTTATCCTCACCACACGCGTGTTAATCCGCATATCTAAATTTGATTAACTGGTGTTGGGAATCCTGACATAAGGAAGAGGGTGATTTAGCGATCACCTAGTTCTGCTGTAAAATTAAGTAAATCTGTAAGTCCCTCCACACTCAATTTTCCTTGAATTAGGAAAAGCCATTCTTTTTGACAATCAGAGGGCTATTCTTGCTGAATAGTTTGCTGATTAAGTGGTACACGAGTAATAACTACTCCGTATCCCCGGCTAGCCCCTCACAATATCTTTCCAGCCTTTTCCTCTGTATTTCCTTTCTTCTTAGTTTCTGATATCTATCCCATAGCATTCCAATTTCTCCTTCAAGTGACCCTTCGTCAGCAGTCTGTTTTTTCAGTTGAAGAAACATATAATCTCTCTTTTGGGTTTCTTAGCAGTTTGCCATTTTTGTACTGTAAGGAGAGTTATCCTTGGCTTACTGCCAGCAACTATCTTTGTTGACCTGTAGTTTGGGTGATCCTACCAGTAACAGTCTGCTAATGATAATTAAAACTTTTAATCAGAGAATAAAATTGAAGTTTTTGGAATTTATTTAGCATTTTGAAATGTGTAAAGCAAAACTTAAATGTTAATTCTGTTGCAACAATTGCAATCAACAAAAAGTTGTCAAAATAATTTGTTCAATAAGTAAATTTTGAAATTAAAATTTAATTTATTTTTCTACATTTTGGATAATCCTGCCCCATCATGTCATGGTTTAGGATTATACAATATGTACTTTTATATTAATTATCATACAAGATATATTTTGCTTGATGATGGTAAGCTTGTATCAGATTTATGGACTAAAATCTTTAAAATCTAAGAAGTGAAAAACTGATAAATTTTAAAACATTTAAATGACTAGTATATTTTAATAAATTATTTTTGTTATTTGTAGATAAGCTTGCTGCCCTGTGGCCGTTTCTTGGAATCTGTGCAGAAGTCATCATTCTCTGCACCATCATATTTATTTATGAAAAGAGAAAAGTCAAAGAAGTCACTAATACCGACGTGGACCAGATTGCAGAAAGGTTCTTATCTTTGTTTTTCTAGGTGTGACGTCCATTTTGTAAATTTCTTGTTCTTTTGACAATGAGAAATTTAACATTTATTTGATTTTCTTCTGTGGTATTTCTACCATAGTTCCAAAACTGAATTTGAGGAAAAAGGATAAAAAAATCACAATTTTGAAAATTTACTTTGTCTTTCATGCATTAGACATACCCAAGATGAAATTTTAATACTTATTAAATAAAATACAATACCCAATTTAATTTGGTAAATATGTATGCAACTTTTTATTTTCCTAATTAGTGTAGTGGACCTGGGTTATATCTGATGTCTAAATGGGAAAAAGGGTACAAAAACAACCACATTCCAGTGCTGGCACACACATTGTTCTTGTGTTTCCAAAAGAGAACATTAACCTGGATGAAATTAGAAATACACTCACGACATATAAAACCGAGCCAGGTAGGGATTTCTGTAAGAGCGCGTTGAAAAATTAGGAACAATGGAGTTTGCATTCAATTAAATACAAAAAATGACAGTGAGAAAATGGTGGCTGCCATTAACTCAGTCAAAACATGATCAAATAGGTTAGATATAAATACTCGGCAGTCAAATAACCGAAGGCTATTCTGTTAAATATCCTGGGTGACGCTGTCACTAGTGACTTCATTGAGAAATTATACAACCAGAACATTGTCCTTCAGGTTACTTCTATTATTAGGAACATGCTAATCCACAGCAATATGTTAGTGTGCAATGGGCAATGATAGCAGTAGACAATTACATCCCTCTCACATGCTGTGGCTATGGCCATCTAGCTAGCAAATGCACAGAAAAATAACATTGTGGACATGGCAAACCTTGTAGCTGTGGTTGCCCATACAGTGACTACAGTCAGGAACCATGCTGTGTAAATTGTGCAAAGGCCAATAACATTCTACCAGAAGGGAGAAAACATAAGACTAAAACAGACTAAACACCAGGCTAAACCATTAAGCATTCTCTCAACAATGCCCCATAACCAAATGCATGAAAATACAAGCTGCCAATAGGGTCAGCTATGAATAATACACCTCTTCACAATACGAGCACAGGCAGCTATAAACTCATACAGAGTAATACACAGAAATGCAAAGCTGCCTGCTCCCTCCTCATTCACAAGATACAGATATCATCATGATCCAAGAGCCCTACACTATTAACAACATGACAGTCAAGTTCAATAACTGGAAAGTCTATCCAACTCAGGACCCTGGCTATCGGTATCATCAGGAACAAAAACATTAATGCCTGCCTTTACATATGTTCTGTCTATATTCCAGACTCCACTAACATTGACATGGCCATAGAAAAGACATTCATCACCTGCTGATAAGCCTATCCTAATAGGTGACTTCTTGGCAACCTGGCATGGTCTAAAACATGACCCTAGGGTTAACAAAACCATGGTCCAACACAACCTTACTCACTTAAACACCAGCACCCTTGTAACCTACTCCTGTACCACGGGAAAGTTGGATCAACGTAACAGGAAATAGTCACATCACCCATAGGATCAACCACTATTATACCACCAACAAAGGTATATCGTCACCCAACTGAAAACTGCTAGTAATACAAATAATCATAGTTCTCACTATACTCTCACATTAATGTCTGGGTCCTGTTCATTCCTAAAAGTCACACTTAGAGATCAGTACAGGTTTACAAAACCCTTATAAATAAAACAAAGACAAACACATGGAAGGATTTCTGTACCAACACTTGCAGTGGCAATCCAGTGCACTTCATTTTCACTAGTCTTCAGATGGACCACATTTACATTTACATTTACTAAAGGATTACATTTACTAAAGGATTTACTAAAGGACTTTAGTAAATGTAAATGTAATAGGTATAGCCAATAGGTATAGCCTTGGAAAAGGAGAGTTGTAGAAGAAGTGAGAAGAGTGAAGAGAAGAAAAAGGGTAGATAGGAAAGAGTGAAATATGACATCTCAGAGCACCTGTCGAGTGCCATTTATTAAACACAAAAGTACAAATAGCCAAAATACAGTGGAATACAGTATAACTGCCCCTGTTTTGAGGCAGTAGGAGTCAGATGGACCACAGCAGGATGACAGTACACAAGTGGTCATCAGAAGTTCTACACTCACTCCGCCTAACATTTGTTCACTCACCAAATACAAAGCCCCAGGCTGTGATGGCATAACCACTAGAATGATTAAACATGCGTGAGACCAATCCTACAGCATTTGTTATTCTCTTTAATATCTGTTTGAACAGTGGCTTTTTTCCTACTCAGTCGAAAAAAAGTAGTGTTAAATTGATTCCCAAACCCACCAGCACTAACACTTACAAAAACTACAGACTGATCTGCCTTCTCCCAACTCTATGATAAGTGTTTGATGGTCTAATGATTAATAGGATCACTTGGCATCTACACAAGCGTAGAGCCTTGCCCAGAATCAGTTTGGCTTCTCTAAAAACAAAGGTACTGTATATGCCATCCACCAGGCTAAACATAATAATCAGCCTACAGCAATAATTACTATTGACTTTAGAGGCACCTTTGATCATGTCTGGTGGTCTTCTATCTTGCACACATTACACGCTCAAAATCTTCACAAACTTCTTCAGTCCTATCTCAGTGACAGGAGTGCAGGTGTTTATACAACACAAAATAACATAATCATATCCATCACTCCGGGGGCTGAACAACATTCATCAGTGGAGTATTAAGCATAGGCAACGTATTAACACAGACAATTGCGAAAACATGATAGTTGTCAAGAAGCTTACCCTTCAAATAGGTGCTCACAGAATAAAGCAAACAACAGAAATTAAATATTTGGGCATTATTCTTGACGAGAGACTAAACTTCACAACCCACAGCAAATACATCATGGACAAAGCTCAAAAGATGGCCAATGCCCTCATTGGTATTAGTGGTATTAGTAGCATTAGGGCCAAGACCCCATGTGTTTCTAGTAAGCTTATTTACAGCAGTGAAATTCAGCCAGCACTCCTCTATGCCATACAGGTCTGGGGCCGTGTGACCACCAAAGTCCATAACCATAAAAAACTTACCTGTTAAAAGGATTGCAGCTCTTCGCATTTGTAAGGCTTATAGGATTGCACCCACTAGTGCCCTTTTGGTAATGTCAGAGTTGACCCCTATCAACTTAAATTTGGCAAGAAAATCTCATCACCTTACCCTGGCGAGATTATAGTGACGTGGATGTTGATAAAATGATTAGAGTAGGTAAAATTTCCCCAGTTTGACCTTGATCAATGATATCAAACAATTCAGCATCGACAAAAAAACCCTCCCATCAACTTGCTCCTGATGTTTATGTCAAAGATCCAGGTGATCATTCCATGTTTAGGATTTACACTGACGGTTCCAAGATGGGTGATGAAATGGGTGCCGCTTTTGTAGTTTATTCTGACTTAGGCCATGAGCTTCACAACACTTGTTCCATCTAGGTACACACTGCTCAATAGCACAGGCTGAAACTTTAGCTATTTATATGAGCTTAATCCACATTAGGTGTAGGAAGGACAAAAGATACTACTTACACTACTGCATTTATTCTGACAGTAGCTTTACAGGGTAGCTTTACACAGGATTGCAAAGTCTGATAGACACTTAAAACTCATCTATCTCATACACCACATCCTCAGACACTTAGACAACATTAGAATAGATTTCCAATGGGTCCCAGGTCATGCGAGGGTTCTCGGTAACAAGACCATTGACTGTCTTGCTAAACAAGCTGCAAAGTCTTCAGTTACCAGTACTTTCAGTTACATTCCTACCTCATACATCAACAATCATATCAAGAAGCAAATCTTCATTCTCTGGCAAGACAGCTGGGACCATGACACCACTGGTAGGCTCACCTACACTTTCATCCCCAAGTTTGACACTACTGTGATTCTTTGCCACTTTTACATTAGTTACACCCTCACTCAGTTACTTACAGGACATGGCAATTTTAAGCAATACTTGCATAGATTTAACATTGGGGACAATCCTCAATGCAATTGTCCTCAATCACATTAGGGATAGTTTAATGAAAGCTGATATTCTTGAAGGGTACAACTGGCCTTGCAACCTGCACCAACTCATTCACAAGCATACAATGTTCCATCATCTCGCATTCATATCCCTTACTCAGGCTCTTGAAAGCACTCACTCCTGGGTCATCTGTGCACCTGGAGTAAGGCTCTGCAGGCATGGATTAGCTTTCCCTTACTTTGTTTCAACTTTGTATTTTAATTCTTATTTTCTGTGTTTTTTCTGTGAGAAGTCAGGGGTTAAGGCCTGAGGCTTAATCTGTTCTCCGACGTCAGGACGGTGAGTCCAGCTCACCATGTCAGAGGACGGTGGTCTTCTAAATAGAGCAAGTGGGAGGGTCAGCAACGTCGTCGATACAGGAATTACTACAACCATTTAAATAAACTTAACACATTTAATAGAAAGAACAGATGTAACAAAGTTATAGTGTAAGGCAATAGTAACATTAATATGAGTTCTGTTTCCAGAGACAGCTACCTGCGAGAACTATCTGTTTTATTTGCTTAGAAATTAAATTAACTTTAGTCTTTAAGTCAACCGAGAGAGAAACTTCAAAGTCAATACCTCGTTCAGCACTGTTGGAGTGAGATGTTTTCCTTCCATTTTTCTTGTCAGTTAGGCATTGGATAGGGGTCTAGCCTGGGTTCAGTCTTCGTTGGTGCTTGCCTTGACATCAGGTTCAAACCCTTTTTATAAGTGTCATGCATGAGTCTGAGAGTGTAGAAATTAAATGGCTGTAGTATGGTAGTAAGTGAGTGTTTACATAAAGGTAGTAGGAAAAACACTAAATTGACGTGTTGATTTTTGGTATTCATGGTCTTTGTGTGGGATCTGTACCTGTATATTTAGTGAGTGTTTCCTGAAATAGACATATAAGTGAGAGCATATTAACTAAATCTATGTTATCAGTGGTGGATGAGGAAGTGCCTGCAGTATCATTAGTTGTAGTTGTTGTATGTGTGCTATTATCAATGCTTGTTGCTGGATTATCCTGACAGGTTACGTGATTTTCATTAATGTTAAGTGTTTCTGTCTGTTGATGTATTTGATCAGCAACCTGTTGTTGGATAAGGTCATTGTGTATAATTGTTCTTTTTTAATCCACAACCTTTTGTTCAGTGACAGTGAGGTGAGGATATTGTTGTGTGAATCTATGGTGTAGTTGTTGTCTGTATGCTGTCATGTTTGTTTCGAGTTTTGTGATTGAATAGTAAGTACGGATGATAAACTCGTTCATTTCTGATGTCCATTTCATCCGTTGGCGTGGTTTTCCAGCCTTTGTGGTCTGTGAATGCATTGCCACAGAAACACCAAGGCTAGGTTGATTCCTCACATCTGTTGAGAGCATTGCAGTAGCCATGCTTAAACCAGTGCTGCTTTTGCCACCGATAACCAAGAGAGACTGTGGCCTATTTTTCGAACGTGAGCCTCTGCCTAACCACGAACACAAACCTTGTTAACCCGGGTGACGTCTGAGTTAGTAACATACTTATTTATCATGGTAGTAACCAGATTATCTCTACAGAATGTGGGTGTGGTCACTCAGCTTCATTTCTCCCCATAGACCTTACTGGCATGGGTGTCCCTACCAGGAGCTTGTGCTCCAGCATGCATTGCCCTATGGATCAGTAAAATTACTGGGCTCTCTCATCATGACAAAGTGATGACCACAGGAGAGTTATTATTATTATTAAGCACAGAGCCCAAATGATTAGAATTTGAAATTTGGTACACAGTGAGGGTACTCCATGAGAATGCACACTAAGAAGGAATTTTTGGAAATCCCCCTGGGGAGAGGAAGAGGATTCAGAATTACCCTGAAGAACTCTTCTTCTATACTATTTTAGATGCAGTTTTTTGCATTTTTGTGGAAAATCAAGCATATTTTTAGACCAATGTATAAATTTTCTAATTAGCCTCGAGAGAGGAGACCTAATTCTTGCAACCGGTGCAAACGGAAAAGATCAGCTATAATCTAATAATCTTTGCTATCGTTACTTTTTGCCTGAGCAACTGTGTGAGCAACACCAGGCTCATCTGCTAGTCATTAATAATTTAAACATTGTCATATTAATAGAAAAAATATAATATATTTCCTTTAGGACTATACATATAATTGAGTCCATCTTCATTTGTCCTTTCACATGTTTTGCAGAGGCTATAACAAATTTACGGCGATACCGACCTTTTATTTGAGGCTACATGTTTGCCGTCAAATGTAAATGAGTTAACGTTACACTATCCGGGACCGGTGCTCGATGCGTATATATTGTATATTGCTTGACAAACGTTTTTGAGTGATCTGTTCGCTCTTATTCAGGTTGACTGAAAATTCCCCGGACAGAGTGTATATTATTTGTTGGGATCAGGTGTCGGTTCCAACTGGGTGGGTCATTTCTGGCATGCGCGGTTGTGTGGTGGGGAGGAAGCAGCGGGTTGGTGTCTAACAGTGATTGCCAGGCCAGAGACAGGGTTAGCTCTTCCTTCCCGTTAATGCCCACCACCACACAACCGCGCATGCCAAAACGACCCACGCAGTCGGAACTGACACCTGATCCCAACAAATAATATACACTCTGTCTGGGGAATTTTCAGTCGACCTGAAGAAGAGCGAACAGATCACTCCAAAACGTTTGTCAAGCGATATACAATATATATGCATCGAGCACAGGTTCTGGATAGTGTAACATTGATTTCACCTCGGTGCTGAAAGTAGAACAGTTCCTATGTAAACGAGTTAAAAAAGTCCTCTAGCGGCGGCCAGTACAGTAGAGCATCGATTATCTGACCCTCGATTAACCGTCACATTGGTTAATCGACCGTTCTAGTCGGCAAATTTCAAATGTCCGCTAGTGATGTGGCACTACAATATTTGGCTATATCTTGGCCTCTCTAATATTATTTTTGTTAAATTTTTGTGTGTTTTAGCTGGCAACAGGTTAGACCATTGAAGGGAAGCCAGTATTTAAATGAGACTTTTACGAATGGTTGTTTGTTTTGTGAGCAATAAAATAATTTTTAACGATACAATAGCTACGATTATTATTTTAAAAAAAATTTGTTAAGCTTAACATTGATGAAAATTCAACGCAAAGTTGGTTAATAGCGATATACTAATATACTATACTAATAATTCCAATTAGAAAGTTCAGACTATGTACGAAAAATTTTTTAAATTTTTGAGTCTATCTAATCCATTAACACAACCACAGAAGTACCCGTAACATTGTTGAAGAAAAACTTCAATAAAAACAAATAATGAATAGGTAAAAAACTCACAATATTAAAAATGATCAAAACGTCAGCCTTTTATTTGAGGTTCTGACGTCTTTTACATTAAAAACAACAGGTCTTCTCACACTACCATCAAGTAGTTATCCAATTTTATCAGGTTCAAGCCCCCTGGTGGTTGATACGAGTCATCCTTACATTTGCATATAGACAATTTCATGGTGAACTCAGGATATATTCTTCCAATTAGAAAGTTCAGACTATGTACGAAAAATTTTTT